GGAAGGGTGGGGAAAGGTGTTTTAAGATTTGGTTTTATTTCTCATACTCCGATTTGATTGACAATAAATTAATTTCTCCAAGTCGAATCTGTTTTGCCCATGACAGTAATTGGTAAATGATTTCTCCCTGTCCTTATTTTGACCCACCAGCCTTTCATTATATTTTCTCTCCTCTGTCCAGCTGAGGAGGAGGAGTGACAGAGCGGCTCTGGTGGGCACCAGGCATCCAGCCATGGTCGACTCACTACAGTAGCACAACATTCAGAAAGTCTGCAATGAAGGACATGAACCCTTAGCTACCAACAACTAGGCTACTGGCTGACGTTATTTCAGCTTCTCATTTTGTAGTTGTTGTAAATAAGCCTAAAATAAACATGCATCACCAGCAGCTCTAGTCACCTTCCTCTTGTCATCCAAATTACAGAAAGGTACAGAATCTGATTTTTTTAGAGCACCTCCGTGCTCTAAAATCAGTTTAGAATCAGTTGATTCTGGACATCACTTTAAAAAAGGTTCTTAGAAGCGTGAGATTCAGTACTCCTACCTAATACGTTGAGAAACTGAGACAAAGGCTAAATTGTTTTTTCAAGGTAATACAGCAAGTCAATGGCAGAGTACAATTACAATTCAAAGCCTTCTAGTTTCTAATCCTATAATCCTCTTTCCAAAATCTATTAGCACAACCAAATATGCTGTTTCAGTGATGGCTGTGAATGCTCCATTCTTTTGAACGCTCCACCCAGGTAGCACAAACTGACCGTGCAGATTACGACACCTGAATAATTTACAGCCATATTAAGCATCTGGATCCAAATTACTTCCCATCTCAAGTTTCTGACTAGCAGCACTAAATTCAATGGCTTTAACTGTGAAACAGTCTTTTTTCCTAATTTTAAGTTGTTGAAATAGGCTGTTGAGTCAGTATTGTATAAAAACTTGATTCTTGGGCTAACGGGGGAGATGAAAGTGCAGTAATTTGTGCCCCCTCTCCCCTCTGCTGTACAGTAATCCTACACTTACATTTCGCTCCCTGTTGATGAGTGTAATTAGACCAGACTTAACAGACACCAGCCTGGCACGAGTAAATCTGTCCCCAAGTCCCACATGCTGCTGCATTCAAAGAGTCTGGCCAGAGACCGACTGCCACTCATAGATTCATAGATTCATAGATTTCTAGGTTGGAAAAGACCTTAGAGATCATCGAGTCCAACCATCCCTAATCCCCATTAAACCATATCGCTAAGTAGATCATCCACCCTATTCTTAAACACATCCAGGGATGGGCACTTCTAACCCTGGTAACTCATACTTGCAAGTCTCTCATTTCAGCATCTGACGTTGCCCCTGGCAAGCGAGCCCTGGTTTCAACACCTCTTCAGTGACTCACCAGCACAATTTGTCATGTACCAGAGAGCTACCCTTTTTTTCTGACAGAACCATAGGGCTGGATGAACTGTTTGGGAGGCAGTAAGACCAGAGGCCAATTACCTTTCCTAGAAAAAAAAGAACTCTGCAGACCCTCATTTCATCTGATGGACAACTCACTGCATGTTCTTCGTGATCCTCCAGAAAAGGGGGTAGGCCTGGAAATCACTAGGTTTTCTGAACGTATATACACTGTTTACCTTGAAGGTGTACTAATAGCTACACTCACAAGGTATCACAGGGGTTCACAGCATACAGGCCTTTTCTTCTGCTGGAACAAAACACACAGTGCATACCTAGACATGCATACCATTAATTCTAATCTGAGAATCAGAGCTTTTAAAATCTCCAGTTGCTTAGACCGTTTAACTGGCAAAGTGTGTTAAAGTAGGTGTAAAACTTTTCCATGAAATTTCTCTGCTTACATTTTATTTACATTTACAACGTACAAGTATTTAGAAAAGAGTTGTTTTTCTTCATGAGTGCCTAAATTTGGTTACAGCATTGATGGATAGGGGAAGAGCAACTGACATCGTCCACCTGGACTTATCCAAAGCATTTGATACTGTCCCACACGACATCCTTGTCTCTAAACTGGAAAGACATGGTTTTGATGGATGGACCACTCGGTGGATAAGGAATTGGCTGGATGGTCGCACTCAAAGAGTTGTGGTCAACGGCTCAATGTCCAAGTGGAGGCCAGTGACGAGTGGTGTTCCTCAGGGGTCAGTACAGGGGCCAGTGCTACTTAACATCTTTGGTGGTGACATGGACAGTGGGATCAAGTGCACCCTCAGCAAGTTTGCAGATGACACCAAGCTGTGTGGTGTTGTGGACATGCTGGAGGGAAGGGATGCCATCCAGAGGGGCCTTGACAGGCTGGAGAGGTGGGCCTGTGAGAACCTCATGAAGTTCAACAAGGCCAAGTGCAGGGTCCTGCACATGGGTCAGGGCAATCCCAAGCACAAGTACAGGCTGGGCGGAGAATGGATTGAGAGCAGCCCTGAGGAAAAGAACTTGGGGGTGCTGGCAGATGAGAAGCTCAACATGAGCCGGCAATGTGCGCTGGCAGCTCAGAAAGCCAACCGTATCCTGGGCTGCATCAAAAGAAGCGTGGCCAGCAGGTCAAGGGAAGTGATTCTGTCCCTCTGCTCTGCTCTCGTGAGACCCCACCTGGAATATTGGCCTTCAGCTCTGGAGTCCCCAACACAAGAAGGACATGGAGCTGCTGGAGTGGGTCCAGAGGAGGGCCATGAAGATGATTTGAGGGCTGGAACACCTCTGCTATGAAGACAGGCTGAGAGAGTTGGGGCTGTTCAGCCTGGAGAAGAGAAGGCTCCGGGGTGATCTTATAGCAGCTTTCCAGTACCTAAAGGGGGCCTACAGGAAAGCTGGGGAGAGACTTTTTACAAGGGATTGTACTGACAGGACAAGGGGCAATGGCTTTAAACTGAAAGAGGGGAGATTTAGATTAGATATAAGGAAGAAATTTTTCACTCAGAGGGTGGTGAGGCACTGGAACAGGTTGCCCAGAGAAGTTGTAGATGCCCCATCCCTGGAGGTGTTCAAGGCCAGGTTAGATGAGGCTTTGGGTACCTGGTGTAGTGGAGGGTTTCCCTGCCCATGGCAGGGGGGTTGGAACTAGATGATCTTTGAGGTCCCTTCCAACCCTAACCATTCTATGATTCTAAATTTCAACCAAGCCTTTTGAGGTACAGCAAGTTTTCCACTACTTAAAGGTTCTTTGGTTTTGAGGAGGCTTCTAAGTTTTGAATCAACCTGTCTTTAGTTCGATGAAGCTAGCCATTTCTCTCCCCCGTTACTGTCAAGAACTTGTTTGATGCTCCCTAAGATGGATGTGTATGCAAACTAATCTGCCTCTCTCTCTCTCCAAATCCACATTTCTGGTGATAAGATAGATGAGTGAAAAGACAAACTGCACAACAAACAGGAACCAGTCAATAACTATTGCCTCTGGGCTGCTTAGCCACAGCTTTCCAGGCTTAGCTTCTCATTGTCCACCAAGCACCTAGTAAGAAAAGATGTAATTATAAAAGTTACTGCAATTTTAAAGTTGCGGGATTATAACTGGGCAGAAAAGTTCTTCAAGTCATTGTACTATCCACAAAACAACCTCAAACACAATGCTCAATTAATTTCATCTCGCCTAAACTGGGAATGCCATCCCACTGTAGTCTGGCAAGCTCGTAGCAAACTTGATAGTTGTCCAAAGTTTAGTTTGGTACCTTCTGCTGAGAATTTGCGGTTCACAGGAAGACTGAACACTCCTGCCTCAAGCACAGCAATATTCAGAAGCATGAGGAACACCTTTGGGGACTGTAGCAATTCTGGCTGTCTAATTGTAATCCATGGGTACCAGTCTATTAGTTTGCATTCAACAGTATGCTTGGCTACGTGACCTCTGAGGCATTACTGTTCCCTGTCATTCTTCCCACATCTCTAGCAAGAAAGAGTTGCTTCAAGGAACATAGGAAAAATTGCATTAAAAAAAAAGAAAAAATATAATCCTAAAGCCTCACTGATTTAGGTGAGTGAGCCTAAACTTTTGCAGAAACTTTCAACAAATTAGCTAGAATCTGAAACTACTATTTTTATCTTCTTTTCTGTAGACACCTACACAAAATAGTTTACAACCTCCACCCAAAAGGCAATGATTCCTAAGTATTGCCTTTTTATTCAGGTTCCAGAAACTGTAGAATAGTAGGTACACCAGAAACAGCACAGAGGACTTCAAAGGAAGGAAGGAAGAGGAGGCTAAGAACACTTCAGAATACACTGTGAATGGTCAATATATCATTAAATAATGACTTTAGACACTAAAACTTTAAAAAGTATTGATCATACTAATTACAATATCACCATCTTCCCTCAAACCCCACCATGATAAGCAGCAAGAGTTATTTACATTGGCATTACTCAAACTACATGGGATTGTGTCTGCTGCAAATCAATGGTTAAAAGAAATTTTTACCTCACCTATGAGCCAAGCCAAAAGCTAGAACACCATCTTTCAATGCAACATATTTATTTGCCACTTAAGAGCCCACCTAAGTTTGAAACTGTTATCTGTTTTCAACACATAGGGCCTTTTTTTAAGAAAGATTCATTGTATATTGTAATAATGCACAATCAGCAGTGTTTATTTTTATTTTGCTTTAATTAAACACAAACGCATCTCAGCGTCTGACGATGCAGCTTTGCCCTTCGTAACTTGGCAGCGAGGTGACTGTAAGTAAGGCTTCAACGCTAAGATGACAAGAGGTCCTGAAAGTTACAGCTTCCCATTTCAGCTTCCAGCATCCAGGGTTTGAAATTACGGCAAGGGCCGACAAGATCTTAACTCGCTCTACGTTCGCGTCAAGGTGAAACGTTGTCACCTACAGCATTGTGCGATTGGTGTCCCCAGCAGTCAGCTCTCCAAAGTCACGGGGCAGTCAGGGAAAAGGGAGCGTGCCCAGCGGCAGGGACGTGGAAAGGAGGACTCGGGGCCCGGGAGGCGCACGCAGCGGTAACTCGCTCCCCGCCGGGAGAGGCTCCGGGCCGCGGGGCTGAGCCTACGCCTTCCGCTGCTTGTGCCGGGGGTTGGTCTTGCAGCAGACGTAGAGGCGGCCCCGCCGCCGGACGATGAAGCAGTCCTTGCAGCGCCGCTTCAACGAGGTTTTCGTCTTCAGCCCCGCCAGGAGCGGCGGCAGGAGCGCGGGCGGCGGCGGGACGGCCAGCAGGGCGCGGGGG